AGCACTGCGAAACAAGGCATCTTCCTTGGCTTGTTGGACTGCAACAAGAATTGCCTCGGACGGTGGTTGCTGTGCTTCGCCCATGCTCAACGCCCGCTGTCTGCTCTTTTGCTTCGCTGTTGGCGAGGTCTGATCTTTCGGCATATCAACGCCAGCATACCCAAGCCAAAAGCCAGAAGACAAGCTCTGATGCGCGTGCGACTGGGAGCCCTTGCGACGAGGCTTGGGCGCTTCCTGGTGCGCAAAGGTGATGGTGCTGTTGCCTTTGCTCGTTGTCGGTCGGGCAGACTTGGGGGGACTGATCTGTAGCAAGTGGGCAGGTGCACGGAAGACCTCCCCAATAGTGGCAACCTTCTTTTTGCTATCTGATTCTGGGATGGGATATACCTCTGTCGTCGAGATGAGATTGGGGAGGTTTGTCTCGCGCAAGGGTAGAGTCACCTTGACGGCGGTGTCGAGCGTGGATATTCCATGGGCGGGGGGTATTTTCTGGGGTTGCTGTAGACTGGAGAATAGCTGTTTCGGCGGCGCGCTCCCGTACAGCGTGAGAACAGTCCGGCTCTGGGGTATCTCTGTGTCTTGTTCTTCCTCCTTGATCGGCACCGGAGTGCCCTCCTCTCCTGAGGCTGGAGCGTCGCCATGGCCGTTGGCTTGCTTTGCTGAACCAGGTGCTTTGCGCGACCCTTCTCTAGCCACAAGGTTTTTCAGGACGGTCTGGAAGGCGAGCACTTTGCCCTGCAGCGCTGTGTCTTGGGGCGACGCCTGGGCTGCCGACGAATCGCTTGGGCCGCTGGACGCCAGAATCTCTGTGGTAGCGCTCTCGACATCCTTCTCTAGTGCGTGTAGAGAGTCGTACGAGCCGTCTTGTATCAGGTTGCTGATGGTCGCCGGGCCGTTGGGTGGGGTCAGCTTGGTGCGCTTCGAGTCGGCTTCTCCAGAGGCTGATCGCGTTATCGACGAGATGATGGGATGCAATAAGATGGAGGGTGTGGTGTCGTAGCTATTCAGTGTCAACATGCGACTCAGAGGTGCGGACGAGCCCAGCCAGCGCATGCCGTGCATGGGCTGCTGGCATGGCGGCGATAACGCGCGGGAGCGGGGAATTCTTCGCAGGCGGCATACCTCTTGAGAACTGCCAGTATGTCTGCCAACACTGCCTGCAAAGAGCGTGCGCCGGCATTGTCGCTCTCTCGCGGTGCAGGCGTGGATGCGCCATTGACGGCAATGGCAGGACGCTCGGCGAGTTTCCGTTTGGCGGCAGCGGGCGAGTTGGGCGCCTGGGGGAGCGAGGGCGGGGAGAGGGTGCCGTTGGCGGCGGCCATGGTGACTTTGGGGTGCTGTTGGCGATGCGCGAGTGATGGCGTGGGATGGAACGCGCTCAGGGCGGCCGGAGTCGTGCTTGGGCGGTTTCCTTCACAGCATGCCCTGTCCGCGATACCGGCAGGCGCGATGCTGAAATTTGGAGAGGCGCGTGACGGGGTCCAAGACGGCTTCCGGTGACGCGCAAATGGTGCCTAGGGGTTGCGCGTGCTGTTGGCGGCTGTCCAAAGTTGACTTGGCTTGGTGGAAGTAAGTGCAGCGATGAATGGAACGCGCAAAGGGCAGCGCCAAGACCACGCCGCAGAGTGCCGCAGCAAATACTACCTGGCAACTGCTGACGACGATGATGATTCTTCCCTCTTTCAATGATCTCTCTAATTCTGTTTGCAAATTCACGAGTGTTCGCTCTCCACGCGCCTATCGCTCCTTTGGGTGACGATGTCCAAGTCGTCCACGGGTGGTTTGCGACTGTAGCATGCTGCGCTAGTGACGATGGGGCACGAGCTACCCACGATTTTCTCACTGCACTCGACAACTCTCCGCAATTGGTTTTCGCACGCGTCGCTCCACGTCTATTGCGTCTGATGAATGCCCTTAGTACTCTCCCTGGTAGCTCCAGGTAGTCCGTACCGCTTCGGCCGTCGTGTGACGCGCCTCCTACCGCACTGGGTAGGCCCGCACGCCGTGTTCAAGGCTTACTTTGTACTGACCTGTTTTGCAAGTATCTTTGTAATCCCATAACCCATCTTCCAAGGCGGGACATATCACTCCTTTCGACATGTCATCTCTGGATTCCTTCAGCGTCCCTGCTCTCCCATCACCCCGCGACGCGCAAACCCCGCCGCGGTATAGCCTCTCCTCGCCATGAGGTGCCTCATCGACTTTCGAGGCACTACTCCGCACCGACCCCTAATGATAACGCCTTCTTTGAGAGTTCTATAGATGCCATTTCAAGCAATCTAGGCACAGATGCTCCATCGGACACCTCTTCGCCGTTCTTAGACACGCTCGAGGATGCAGAGGAGGATGGTAGATTTCGACCGCAATGGTCCCGCGCCACGAGGAAGGCCAAGCGTCCCAGCAGACCTGCGACAGTCCTGGAATCAATGGATCGCTCGGCTAGAAACCTCTACTTCGTTTCGCCGCCTACTGCGACTGATTTATCCTACACTGCGCCCCGCTCTGCGTTGCGAGGACGCAAGCCGAAGCCTGTACCCTCCGTCAGCACCGAGCTGCTTCCTGAACCTGTCTCCCTTTACTCGATTCTTGCCCGATATCTCCAACATCTTACGGAAATGGCAACGAATGAGTCGACATTCCATTATACACCGCGGGAGCTGGAGATACTACAAAATCGAGGCTACACGGTTGAAAGTGTTCAACGATGGGCGTCTTGTCTCACAGAACCGCGATCGACTGCGGCAGTCAAATGCTTCGAACAAGGGGTCGAGATACCACCTCTTTTCCTGCTTCTACTGTTCCTACGTCGCAAGCACGTCAGAGTACCTGCTCTTGGTATCGTCATGAGGCACGTTGGTCGTATTGCGCAGTCAGAATCGATAAGTTGGTCTGAACTCAAGATCATCACGACCCGTTTACTTCGCCATGGGCGCGAGCTCTGGCCCGAGTCAATGCCATGGACTGCGTCCTTTTTCGTTGCCGAAGCAAGCCGACTCTGCGATGATTTTCCTGGATCCAATCCTCTATCCCTTGATATGCTTTCCGACCTGACGCAGTTTTGCAACACAATTCTGGTGCTACTATCGCTACCCACATCTGCCCGCCCTGTAGTCTTCGCTGCCCAACAAGAAAAGGCTCAATTCCAGATCCTTCAATATATGGCGAGTAGGTCGCCTGCAATAACGGTGACACGCCTCGGTTTTCGGTCCGTTGCGCGCAATCAGCTGGCACATGCGAAGACGCTTCAAGAGAGAGAATGGGCTGAGCTCAAAGGGCCTACCTGGCCACCGTGGAAGGAGAATCGCACAGCAATGGATGAGGATAAAGGCTACGAGTTTGGTGCCTCGCGAGCTTCCCAGCTCTTGCACCGTATGTATGAAGCTGGGTACAGTGGTCGCCTCTGGGAAGATGTGGCGCAAGTGTACGCTGGCTGGGATACCGATTCTAGTCCTACGATACAGACTCGAACCTCTTTACCGCGCATCTCCTCCCAGTATCGAGATGCTAAACACCTTCGCCCTCTGCTCTGGGCTGGTCGTATACGAACGACACGCACGCGTAGGGAGGCCTGGGCATGCTTCCTCTCACATGAGCTGTCTGGAGAACCTGCTCATCCAGATATCTATCTTGCAATGTTCGAAAAGTTGTATCATGCTGAAGCAGAGCGATCGACCCGCACAGAGTTCTCGTCTGATGCAGAAAACACCCATGAAGAAGACACCACTCATATGTTACCTGGAGACATGAAGGAAGCAGTCCCGGACCCGCTATCTACGTTGCACTATGTATATCTTAGCGAACCCGTTCCTGGCTACCGAGGGCTACTTGGACGAATGCAGATGGCACACGTCAAGCCTAAACGCCGCCTCCTTGCGTTCCTCTTAGAGACATGCCCAGAGTTCGACACGGGTCTAGGTTTACTAGACATGGCTAGGGACATTCAACACGGCAGGGTAGGCCGAATGCTCGACAGCATTCACGACCAGTACACTTCAGGCAACTCGATCCCGGGTTTTCTTTTCAAGGCGATCATTGACTTCTTGTGTCGCTTTGGAAGCATCGATCAGTCATCTTTTCACAAAGTTGATTTCCTACCTCCAGAACAGCACGTTCGTCAGCTCAGGTCGAACAGGCAATACTGTGTCGAATACGCATACATGCTTCTCAAATACTATCGACCGATCTACCGACCAGCCTGGGCTTGCATGATAAAGGTGCTGGCGTCTCAGAAGGGGCATAAGCATGTTCTGAGTCTTGCTCGGTATAAGCTCATTTGTTCCATTATTGAAGATATGGAAGAGATTGATCTTGACATCGACGATGAGATATTCCGTCTGGTCTGTATTGCGACTATGTACGCCGCTCAAGCCGTCGAACGAGGCTCCGCTTCTTTTGACGATGCACGACATGTTCTTTCCACTGCCTCCTCTCGCCTTCGTACGCTCTTCAACGGCCTAGTCGGTGCTAGTGCAGATGTGCAGTCGCCTACAGGTGATCAGACAGCCAACGTCATTTCGCCACACATTCCGGGGCCCGCGGAGCTACATGCCTATGTACGAGGGCTAGGTATTCTCCGGGATTATGAGGGTCTTTACTCATTCACCACCTGGTTCACCAAACATTATGCTGAGGTGACGGCGCGTGCAGAAGCTCAACGCTCAGGCAGGCACCTTCTGTTCAAGACGCTCGTGGCGTTGCGCCTAGCTGTCGATGGAGGCGGATTCGAACCAGGCAACGATCACACATCCGGTGCACCAGAAGACATAGCACTTCTCATCAAGACACAGATCGAGAGTGTTGAACAGTGGGGCGGTTGGCCTGCAAAGGAATATGTGGACATGTATGCCAAGGGCCATTTAAAGTCCGCACCACCCGTTGTTGGAGGACGCTAGAAGACGGTGGAATACGAGCACTTTTTATTCCATGTTTTTACTGCTCTTAATATACTGTAAAAGTAGACCACTCGCGCATATCCGAGGACAGCAATCTGAAATTAAACGTCAACCAAAGTTTTCGAGACCGTGGCGAGACCTTTCCTCCAACCATGCCGTCGCCTCTGCGAAATCTTCTAGCCAATCCAACTCCGCGTCGCCGCGCGGAAGGACGGGCAAGCCTGCTGATTGAAACCGTGAGGCACGTATGCAGAGTTTCGGAGTGAGCCTACGCTCGCTTGTGTGCTGATTCTCCAATGCCTTGCATAGGTCCGTAACCCCATCCACCTCTTCTGCTGCATCCTCCCGCGCCCAATCCGGTGCGTTCTCCATAATCGCTTGGCACTTTTCCACAATCTCCACCGGCGCGGATGGCGCCCCGTCAAGACCATCATAAAAGTGTTGTATTTGGCTCTCATACGGCACAAGAGGAGGATACTTGAAGCGGAAGGGTTTCACATCCCTGCTGTTCCAGCGAGCGGTCTTCGCCCGTTTAACCATCCTTTGTGCCTCGCGCCGCATTTGAGTGGGAATATGCTCCGCATTGAACTCGTCGGGAGCCTGGGTTCGGGAATCAAACGGCTGCTTTAGACGGGCGGGATGAGCCTCGTAGATATCCGCCAGTCGGTAGAGTTCCGCTGCTAGCGTTTCTGCTCTGACTAGACGGACTTGTTGATACATGTCGACGAAAGCTGCTAGTTTGTCGGCGGAGAATACAGCCCCGTCTGCATGGTGCTGGTATTTGTAATCCCTCTCACCTAATTCGGGAATCCTAGAGAAGATTGCTGAAGCTTGCACCGGCAATTTTGGGAGAATCGGTACGACGATTCGGGAGTAGTCTTTGTGGAACGTTGTCCAAGTCCCAGTGAGGATGATCGCGTTTAACTCTGAGAGCCATCTTGTTCCCAACTCCCCTCGTTCCTGTCTGAAACGAGTCCAGTTCTTATCCAATTCATGCTTCCAGTCTGAATTGCGATAGGTCAGAAAGTAAAGGCGGCCTTTGTCTTTGAAGACGTCTGGTAGATCTTCCTTGGATTCCGGTTTCTTGAAACATGCGAACTTTACGCGGTCTGTAATGGAGAGTAGTGTCTGCCATTTACTCATGTCTTCGCCGCGGAAGTATTTACCCCAGAGCGATCGGCTGTTTTTGAGGGACCAAGTAAGACGTGGCCCGGCGCAAGAAGAAAGGCGAATTAGTTGCGAGTATTCCAGTTCGTCTAGTATATCACCGTGAAGCTCGCATGGAAGCTTCTCGAGGTCCTGCGCGATGCGCTGGTATCTCTTAGGCGCCAGCTTGGTTTCCATCTTCTTGTCGGATGTAGTTAGAACTGTCGGTCGAAGGCGGGTGAAAGTGGTGCTGCAATGCGATCGATCTCAAATCGTAATCAAACGTATTTGTCTAATGTTCTAACGAGCATATTTATTCACAGAAGTTCTTCTATTTATTGAGGAGCAAGCTTTTGCTGTTTTCCTTGAGTCACGAAAAGGGCGCTGGTAGTGGCGGGCGCGCCGCCCTCAACCAAGGGCGGCCGTCGCAACTACCACAAATGGCCTTTATGTTGCCCGCGTTTCCTCTTATGCACACAATCAGCAGGCACCGCCGTGCCAACTCGATACAACTTCATCGGACACCAGTTTTCCTGTTACTACGAGAGCGATCTTTCGTTATCTTCTTTGACATCGATCTAGTCATACATCTACCTCCAGAAAGGCGCCATTCTGACTCATTACAGGCACCATATTACGCAGCCACAGACACCCCTGAAACGATGTCCCGACGCTTGCGGGAGACACTCGTCATCGGCCCAAAGCCATGTAGCTGGGTAGTATACCATCTACCCGGTTATGGTACGGATGGAGCATTCAAGATTGCTGCGTGCCTTGCACTGTCCTGATCTGGGCCACGACATCAAGGTACTCATATACGAGAACTGCCGCAGTAGAATCTGACCTTACTTGGACGAAGCGGCGTCAAACAGAACTTCAGATGGACCTGCCGGAGCATGCGTTACTTCCTTCGAAAGTCACGACTACCTTAACAGCCACTACACATCTGCAGAAGGCTGCTACATTCCAGCGCGGCACCACAGCTGATCCTCTCATGGCACGGTTGGGGGAGCGCGTTCATCCTAGTCGATCCCCCAGCCTCAAGAGCCTCACCGCCGATCCCAAGCACCTCGGCGAAGCTTCTTCAAAGAAGATAGGCGGGTAGTTCTGTACAAAGGAGGATAACTCGGCTGTTAGAGTGGGGCTCGGGTACGCTAGCAACGGCTTAGGTCCCGAGGTCTTGCGGGGGTGCACCCTGCTTCTTTAATATATCTCATCACAACATGCACGTTCGACAGCAACTCTTGCGAGCACGATAATTGGTGGGCCGGTTTAATATTGTGATTGTCGCCTGTTTACATATCGCACGTCTTGCTTAACCCATTACAACAAATAGCTCTCACCACGTGTCCACCACAGTCCCGTATTAGCCATCCACCCATCAAAAGCCACTGCCGACTCCCGAGATCGAGCTAACGACCATCTACTGCTTGTAGCAAGAGGTGCGGAACTGAGCGTTCCAGCCACTGACAGTGCTGTACTTTCCACCAGCAGCGCAGGCGGTGCCGACTTCAAGAGGGTTGTTGGGGTTGGTGGCACCATCGGCGCGGTGGGCGTTGGTGCACCAGCGCTGGCAGTCGAGGTCACCAATCTTGGGGTCCTAAGAGTATCTCAAATTAGCATCCAAGATGCATTTGATCTTGTGTCGTTCATGAAGGGTTGCTCACAGAGTAGACGCAGCAGTGCGAGCCATCACCGAAGAGGCACTGGCAGAACTGGGCGGCCTGAGCGCTGATGGCGCTGGCGATGATGATAGTGGCGAGGGAGAGAATGCGGACCATTTTGGCGGTTGTGAGAAGTCTCGAAGAGGTAGTAGAAGAGTGTGGAGTAGAGTGGATTTAGATTGAGTGTCTTGGTGCTGTCCAGAGAGGGTGGTGCTCTGATATTTAAGCTTGCTTAAGCTCTTGCTTATGTCTACAGATAAATGAGTCGGCACTGATATTTGGCCGAGTGATGCTCTCATATCGCTCAAGATAGTGCATTCAAGTTAGCCCAGCCTCGTACGGTCGTTTTCGACCACCGGATATTCACGAGTGTCGGTGTGTTCTAGGGGTATCTCCGTGTCAGCAATCGTGACATGCTGCGGCTACCGGCAAAAGGATTATGTGCAGGAAACTATTGCGTGTGAATTGCAAGGGAGAGGAACAAGCCAACGTAGACCAACGCAGGGGTCATGACTAATACGAGAGACCACTCAGGTCCACGCTTCCTTCTCGGCGGATATTTCCAAGATCACGAACTCACTAACCCAACTTCCAAGACTTGAATGGATCGATGGGGTCAATTTTGGAGCGGTATCTACGGTACCATCTCACCTACATGTTTGAGGGATCACGTACTAACGCAGGGGCGATAACGGATGGAGAAACCACGCTTCATTTTCGGTCGTTAATTCCAACATCACGAGCTCACTAGGCATGTGCTCCATCTACACGCTGCTGGAGTCCTCAACGAAGACACCACCGCAGATCTGGCCCTCATCAAGGTTGCTCTCCTGGAGACCAGCGGTGGCGACGTCGGAAGTACCCGTGAACCGGTGGGTTTCCTGGGGATGCACATCTGGAACTGAGGATATCATTCCGACTTGGCCAAAGTAGACTTTCCAAAGTTACTAGACATTGGGTTATATCTCGTGGCTGCAAGCGCTTTACTCGCAACTGTCTGATGGCAGTTTTGGTGGACTTCCTCTCATCCTCCCCTCGTGCTATTCATTATCTTGCTTCCATCTTCTAGAGTGCGGCATGGCTGCAGACTTCGTGGTAGTACATACCACAATGAGCATACCGGCCCGGTCTGCACAGATAGTGACTGGCTTCGGGACATTCAGCGCGCATCTTTGGCCGTGTATTTCCCCCGTGCCGGTTTTGGTGATAGTCCACTAGTTGGCTGCTGACACAGTCCCCATAGTACTATCGAATGTACATGGTTTGGCCGTAGAGTGGAAATTTGGGTCCGAGGCGCTCATGGTCAACGGGATCCACAACAGGCAGTTCCAGTGAGGCTCTGCCACAACTCCAGAAACGTCTGGTAGTACTGACTCGTGACGGTCCGAATTCGGCAGTCGGCACTTTCCTGTAAGCACAGTAGACCACGTTTGGCAGGTTCTTCCAAATTCGGTCAACTGTTCGGTCATATTATATGCGCTGTTTAGAGCTGATCGGTGTACGTTGAAGGGTGACGTAGGAAGACAGGCGTGGGAACGTGTTATGTAAGATCGTTGCGGCTGTTCAAGCCCGTGTAGATCTTTTGCGCATCATCGTGATGGTGTGGTGGTGAGACTGTAGTTTTCTCTATTTGTACAGGTGCTTGATGCGATTGATTGCATTGCTGTGTATGTAAGGAGTGTGTGTCGTAGATGTCGTTCTATCTAGGTATCCAAACATCGTTTAGATCCCGTCTGCAGGTGCTCTCCGACTTCCGCACTGACCTCCGAACCTAAGGACCATTCGGCCCTACCTAGGTATCTAGGTATCTTTCCACTGACCTCAACATCACAATGGAATCGGCGCGACGACTTTTTTTCTACTCAGCTGACCACAATGTTTCATTGTGATAGACGAGGCCCTTGGAGTTGAGATACTTCCCATTCGAGACCATCCCCTTGCGCATGGGTCTTATGAAATGCAGGCCTTGGCGGGGAGGTACCAAGGTGTGGTTGGTGGGTCGTCTCCGGGTCGTCTCTGTTGTGATAGACGAACATGATCTTGCCGTCTATATAAAGCAACAGTGATCTTCTCGATACCTAGCATACCGACACAGCATCTTCATTACCCACAAGTTTTACACACCTCCTCATCACACTCAACTACTCATTCACCTCGATCCACGACAAAATGGTCCGACTCTCCATCGCCGCGGTTATCTTCGCCGCCATCACTTCCGTCGCCGCTGATGGATGGTGCCAATGCCTCTACGCGGATGGCTCCCACTGCTGCGTTACTGTAAGCCAATGATAGCCCGAGTGGAATCAAACAGGAAATTCAAGCGACCGAATCTAACGATGTACTAGCAATACGGCATCAGGAAGGACTGCGTGGCCCGATGCATCGACAACGGAAACTCGGACAACAAGTGCAACGCTGGTGGCAAGTACTCGGACGTTAGCTCATGGAACGCTTCGTGGCGCCGCTCCTGCACGGATTGGACCATTGGAAACGCGAAGTAGAGGAGGAGCTCGTCAGGATGCCCTTGCGCAGTTCTTAAGCAATCGTCTCTTTGTGTTATGGCAATCAATGTACCTTCTCTTGAGTTTCCTCAGTTCTCGAGATCCTAGGACCTCGATCGCTGGGAAGCTCCCATTCAATCTAAACCCTTTTCTGTGAATACGGTAATCGCCGCGTGTAATAATTGATATGACGGTGTGCCTCCTCACCGTGTATTGTTGATACGATGATGAACCTTTCCGAACGAAAACAAGCGTACTGTAGTAGTCTCCGTGAGATTACTTGAACGGATCCAATGTGACCTATGCACGTCCCCCCGTGGGGTGCTTCGTAAATCCGCCGAAATGTGATTATGACTCGTGTTATGTGGTCTTTTAGTCTGCTGGACTCTATAAAGATCGTGGTTTCTCTTCCACTCCTCCGCACCATCACATCACTCATCACTTCAACCCACAACCCAACCCAACTGCATCCTCGTCATCAACGCCCAACATGCGTCTTACTATCGTTACCGTGCTCCTTGCCAGCGTAAGCAGCGTTGTGGCTTCGTACTGCCAGTGCCTTTACCCAGACGGCAGCCATTGCTGCGTTATCGTAAGTCGTCATGTATCACTTCACACTCAAGATTGACTTGCTCACCATCGTGATGTTTTTCAGGACAACCTTGTCGATGATTGCCCGAGAATGTGCTTGAGGGCGTCCAAGGACAGCACGACTGCTGGACAGTGCAACGCCGACGGGAAATTCTCTAATGTCAGCTCATGGAACGCCCAGAGACGCAAGCAGTGTGGCAAGCCCTACATTTACTAGATTCGGAAATTCACTCGCACTATCGCCAAAGCTCCTGCGAAGTCGTTCTGGAGGATGGGACTGAGAGGGTTTTGTGGTGGAAACTGGTAGGAAGATCGCTCGGGGACGGTTCTTGAAACATGATGGGGCTGTGGATGTTGAGGCGGGTCGATCGTGGGTACCATTGCGGATGTAGCGAGTAACAGCGAAATGACACCTTGCCTATCTCCCCACCCTTCCGTACTG